CGTATCTTCCATATTTTTCGAGATATTTGACTGGCTCTTTTAAAATGGACTACCCTGTATACTCGTATTCAAGTTTTTGTCATGAGTGTATATAAAGCCTGCAAAATGTGACTAATAATATTGTAATATATCTATCTCTATCAGTTCAATTTTTGACACGATGCCTATACAGGATAATTCAAATATTGAACTGATTTTTGGAAAATCGAACAAATAATTGTTCGATTTTTACTTATTCGGGCAATTCCTGTCCAAAAAAATCTTTAATTTTATAAATCAAATTATTTAAATTTACCTATATGTTTTAACACATTAATATGTATTATTATATATTAATACTGTAACTGATCTAATTTTTGTCGTCGAAAATTGCCGTAGATCTGCTGGGCATTTGGCGCAAATTTGTTGTCGGTCTGCGGTTGACAAACCTGCTCTCGATTTGTTGCGTCAATCTGTCGTCGCACTGCTAGTGACAGATCTGCTCTGGTGTTGTACCCAATTTGACATCAGGATATGATTTCAACTTTTGGTTGCAATTGGGGCGCACTCGAGGACACAGTAGGCCCTGAATTTGGCAGCCTCGTTCCACAGGGAATTGTTTGCTGTTTGTTAACAATCCGCAAGCAAATGGTTAGCTGGGAAACGAGCTATCGACAAAGTCATTCAGGTTTTACCATTTTAGCCAGCAATTGTTCCTTAAATGTTTGGCTTTTTCGACACATTGCGACAATCCAGGAAAACCGATAATTAGTAGATGAACACCTTTGTTTCCAATGTGTTGTTACGTCCTGTCGACTTCACGATTCCTCCCTTCCGCGAAGTTGCGGCAATAATAATCAATCGGTTAAATTCTCTTACCGAAAAGGGACCATCGAACGAACGTCTGAATAACCAGCGTAACAGCGACTCAGTCGTTTACCTGCTTTTCAGACCTGTCAATTCGTTCGACCCGATTCCAAACGCCACGATACGTTTAATTTCGGGAAAATAAAAGATAGTTGTTGCGCCCTTCCGTCGACTCATCCTTCCCCGAGTCTGGAGGTAACATAAACATTACATTAAATTTTTCTTTATTTCAAAGTGAGATTGCGCATCGTGTGGAATAAAATTTGAACTCTTTCCTTAAGTGAAAAATGAAATCTTTCCGTGTTGATTTGTTTTACATTTATTTTCATTAATTTTCATTATGGTGTTCAGCAATGAAGAAGCTTTTGATATGTTGATGGTGTTAGGAGAAAGTCAAAGGTGTTTTAGAAGGGCAGCACGTTTGTACGCTGAAAAATATCCAGATAGGCTGCATCATTCTTACAACGTATTTAAACGTTTGGCAAATCGTGTAAAATCAACAGGTTCCGTACAATCAAATGCAAGCCATCGTAATGAACAGATTAGACGTCCAGTAAGAAATGAAATAATCGTACCTGTTTTAGCAGCAATTAATTTCAATCCTCAAGATTCGACAAGAAGATTAGCTATTGATGCTGGTTCGAATCACATGACTGATTGGCGCTGTTTAAACGAAGCGAAAATGCATCCTTATCATTTATCTTTGCATCAAGCTCTTCATGAGAATGATTTTGACAACCGCATGAATTTCTGCTTTTGGGCAGAGAATCAGCTCCAAATTGATCGTTTCTTTCATTACAAAGTTCTGTGGTCTGATGAAGCAACCTTTAAAAGTAATGGAAATGTAAACCTACATAACATGCATTACTGGGCCGAAAATAATCCCCATTGGATGAGAGAAGTTGATAATCAACATGTGTGGAGTTTAAACGTATGGTGCGGTATTCT